CGCCAATGTTTTCTCGTAATAGTACTTGGCATTTTATTCGGTCAAGCAGTATAAAAACTCATGCAGGTGAGTGTAGCGCGAGACCAGTTACTTGAAGTGAAGCAACAGACAAAACTGCATAGTGACTTTTTGGCTTATATGACTGCGAGTGCTTGGTTCAACTCGGGTCGTGTGAAGCATCATGCGGAAAGAAACGACACCACATCAAAGGCTTTCATGGGAAGTTGCAGACTGTTGAATAAGTAATTTTTCATAGACAGAGTGCTCAGAGTATGCAAGCAACAGCATGTCTCTTATTGTTGATGGGTTTGGCAATTGCACAAACTCTGTCCTAAATGGTCCCGGCAAAGTTGCCTTAGCGATAGACCACTTACGCGCAGGTACTATCACTTTTCCCTACCTATACACAAGTCCGTTCTTATGTTGTGCCCACAGTAACATGTTGTTAGACCAAGCAATTTGTAAGTCGGTTAAGTGTCAGTCACCTGAAAGGCGTCACACAATACCCACGTGAGTTCAGATCGAAATAGAAGCAAATGTTGAATTTGTTTGGGTGGGGCGGCACTCAATAAGCCCAAAGCAGAGAACTGTGCAGGCAGAGATTCTCTAAGCTATTGAATGCAGGATTCTTGTGGCCTCAACGTGAGCACCTTCAAAGTGGAGTGTTCCGGAAGATACGGGCAGCATGATTAATGGAGTGCGCACATAAATTTCCCCCTGCATTGTGCTTCATTCCACGGGGAGAGGGCGTCGAGCAGCCTACTGCATTTGCGTCGTCATGCAAGTGTTGCGCTACAGTGTAACACTTGTTTGGGAGAGGTAACCATTGATAAATCTAGTCTCGGAGGTAACGACCTCAACTAGTTCATTGAAATCTGCAAGCACGAGCCTTTGCGATATCTAAAAGGCTATTTCAAAACAACGTTTGCGTAGTCTGACACTGCGAGTCAGAGTGTAGGTGTACATGCGATGCAGTCATTCTGTCACAATGTATGCCAACGGCTGTGACATTTGCAAATGACCGACCGAACCTAGCACGTACTTTCTGATGCGATCTCTAGCAAACTCCATCCCCTTAATGGAGTGCCAATGAAGCAATCAGCAATTGCACGAATCGTTCGAATGTCTTGATGACGCACTCACTTTGCCATCCTTCCTCGGCAAAGGGAATCATCTTTGATGGATGGGGCAGCAAGACGCCTTGGTGATTAGTTGCAACGTCAGAATGTGAGGCATTTTGCTGTAATAGATGTGAGCTAGTGAGCACCACTATCGAATCTCTGATGATTTATGCCGACGCCTCGAAATTGCACCGTGCAATTTGTGAACCAACTTTTGCCAAGAAGATGAAGCTGTCTCACATTAATTAATAAGTTGGAGTGGAAGTGCGTTAAGAGATCACATTCTCTTTCTGGCCTTGCTGGCAAAGTGTGTGTGTGTGTGTGTGCGTGACCACTTTGTACAATTGGCTAATTTTGTAAATGACTAGAACCAGTTGGCGACTAAATGACGTTAATTACTGTCTTGTCCCCTGAATAAGTCACGTCAAAATAATTCTCCTTTCTCACACAACGATGATTTCGCACGATCTCTTTAAGTAGACAGCGTCATCACTTGTTATCAACACAACAGCCCAAGTTGTAGAGCTAGAAATGTTAATCCGACCCATCGTACACTTATTTAAGCCAGGGACTCACGTAATGCACACCTCACAACTCGTTTAAACGTCTGCAGTCGTGCCTTGCTATTTGAAACATTTGTTGACGGATGGCACCAACAATTCAAGTAGGTTCAGGTCTCATTTGATTTTTTTACTGCTTAAACAGAACAGTTGTGTTTTCACAAATCTAAGCTACCACTAAGCCCACACCGTGAACGTGTCACGGTGTCTAGGATGGTTGGATTCATTTACATGACATTTCGTTGTCGTCGTGCTGGAAGATATAAAATGGTTGTGCTGTGAAAGCTCGCTGGTCCTTCACGTGCAATGGCGATGAGGTTGGTCGAGCCATGCTGTTCTACTTGCTAATCGAAAAGTGAATCAAACATTCGGTAAACTCGACGCCACTATTATTACTGGAATCTCGGTTTCTAAATTTCAGGGATAACAGCAATGTTGGACAAATGCTAGACCTGTTCCCACAAATTGAGACCGCATGAGGTATACCGATTTAGCTATTCATAGCTGGAACGTAAATTTGACGACCGATGCTCTCGACAGTCACTGAACCCAGCGAAATCTAAACAGTCATATTCCAAAATTGCCACATCAACAAAACTGCACTTTAAAGAAAGCTGCACGTTTTTAACAAGTCACATTTCTGTGAACATGGCTAGACGTGACCTCACAGACAAATTGGACAAATTTGCACCGATTGCAGTTGTCACCATACCTCCAGCAAATTGTCCATGTTGCGGATTAAAGTGGATCCAGCTTTGTTGCCAAAGCTACTGGTTCTTGCCGAAGTGTCGCTTGCCCGTACGTCGAGCGCAATTTTTGTGCGCGTGAACGATGACTGACAGCGCCTCATTTTTATGGTTCGGTGGCCATCAACAAGAGCCTTGTTTAAAAGGAGCATTCAGCTAACTACCTTCAGTTTATTCAAGTGTCGTTTGGCAATTTTACGGAATATTACTTACTGTAGAATGTGGGGCATGTTTTCACACACCATCATTTAATGCGTGCTCCACAGCTGCCAATAGTAAGTAGGCAGTTAAATTCTGTAAAATGTGGAATAATAAGGTCAAGGTACGAATGATGCAAGGTGAACACCAGAAACCCCACCTGACATGAAGAAAAAGGAAGAGAAGAAGAAAGAGAGCATGTGCACAATCCAAACCAGAAGTCATTCAGAAGTTGCGAGGGGACAAGTGGAGCCGTTAACTCCAAGCACAGGTTGTCAGTTATGCATGTTGTGCATACTAAAGCACATCTAACCACGTATTATCCGATAAACAAACTTTGACACTCCAGCGGGGATCTTCAATCCCAGAGTGCATTTAAACAAGCCCTCTCTGCATAGTTTTTGAAGGTTGAAATCGTGCACTGCACTTTTTCGACCAGACAGAAATCGCACTGTGGTACGTCATGGCTATGCCTAGTAGGGATGCCGGTGCAGCGTCAGTAGTGGCTCTATTCTCGCCTGATTAGTTAAGTGGTTTGCATAGCTGTTTCTTCACGAAAGGGTCACACGTATTCTGTGACGTTTGATGCAACTAACCCCATCACACTAGCATGGGGCAAGACGTGTCCTCGTGCCCAGGCCACAGACCGCAGTGCTGAGCCAGCCCATCCTACCATTGACACTACGCTTCGTGCGCAAGTCCATCCATCTAACCGCCCGCTCTGCACTGCACCCGTCAGCGCTTCTGCATCACTCTTCTGTGACCACGATGAGTTAGGTTTGTCAGCAAGTCGAACTAACAATTCGATCAATTTCCTGGAAGAGGCTTGTGCAAACGAACTCGGCAACTCTTCTGTGTGAAGAAATTAGAACGAGGTATTCGAGATACAAGAGAAGCACTCAATCTGTGCGGATTCATGCAATTTTGCTTGGCACACGCGGGAATGCACTTGTGCTCAGTGTTTTAATCCATAGACACACACGCGTCAGTCTGGCCAACAGTCGTCATTATCGCCACCACACAACCTCCGTCTACATCTTCAAGATGATTTGTTGTAGCAGGGGAGGTCTAACCAACTCCAGTGCCCTGCACACCGGTCCGATCAACACTTGTCCTGCCTTGAGCCAAATTAACATTCGGCTTCATGTCCTAATTGCATAACGAGGCAACTCACGTTCAGAGGCAAATGAATCCACATTAATGAGAATAAACTCGTATTTCAAGAGCCAATGTATGAAATTGGCTTCTGCACAGATGCTTTTCTCTCCACACACATTTGTAATGGCAACTTAGGTGAGTTCAGAATAAACAGATTGATGAACATGGGATTTGCAAATTTGCGGAGGCCTGTGTGTGAACCTGAATGGTAGAATAAACGCTCACCCATGTGGTCAGAAGGCAAAATTGTAATTTTCAAATTCGACTGCATTCTTCGTCAAAAGCAGTCCCTGAAATGTTGCATTGCGTAAGACATCGAGATGATTTCTGGTAGAGCATGTGCAAGTGCTGCGCAACGCCTCTTTGCAGCGACTTCTGACCAGAAGTTGAGCCGAGATCTGGCCACTTCAGAGACCTCCATTGCGCTGTTAGGCTGAACGTAAGTCAGGTCACGCATGACACGGTGGTTCAGGAGGGCAATGCGTTGAGGAGTTTCGGAGACAGAAGAAGTTGCTTAATCTACTTTGTGCTATAACTACGTTATGCAAATTGGAGCTTTGCATTTGATGGAATCAAACATTAATTAAACAACAGCATTACCTTCTCGTGGACCATTGTTTAACTGCAATATTCGGCCTTGCCTTGGGTTTATCCGAACTCTTGTTTCAGCGAATGCCTAGTTCAATAAGGTTTGCGTTATCATCGTCAACTCGCGTTCCGTGTGTGCATAAATTGAGGTGTGCTTTGAGACTAGCATCTTTTTATTGGATTCAATATTGAAACTGCGCACTCTCAGATGGAGTTGGTATAAGTAGTCGCATTCAGTCTGTAACAGACCCATGAGGCCACGATACGTCTTCCGGTTCCATGTGCTAAGATATTGCTATGCGATGAATTTTAGTCACGGTTAACATAGTGCGACCACTCAACTGACGTGAAGGGCCTTTGCTTGGCCACTTCCCATGTAATTTGTTCGTAGCAGTTCGGAAGAAAGACCCAACATTAGTCACGCGCATTTCAGAGACCCACAACCTGCCAATCTCGCGACTAATGAGAGTGGAGTTACAGATGCGCACCAATTGGTCAAGCTGCTAAATCGTGATGTGATTGGGCAAAGTACTTTATCAGACCTGTGCACGTAGCTCGGGCAGATGTTAGTAAGAAATTCCACTGTGTAAAGTACAAGGCTGGAAGTTTTGCATGAGATTGGTGGTAGGATGCATGAGCCCAATGAGACCACAAAGAGGCCAGCGTTTCCCCCGATAAATCCGCATGCTGTCGTCGCCTACTCCAACGCCTGTGACGCATCACTTCTAGACATCCACGGTGACTCAGATGATGTCCACAGAGACAATGCATACATCGCGTTATTGGCATTTTCAGCCATTGCCGTCCTGTTCGAGTTGACTGCCCTAACGGTGCTGGGTCGATCGTCAGCGGTGAGATTCGGATCGATGCGTAAGAGCCTTGTTACACTGACAGTGATTGAGATGTGGCTAAATACCTCAATTTTTGTGCATAAGGCCTGGGAGGAGTTTGCCACAATGCGGCATGAAACGTTTTCCGAATTCTGCTTCTCCTTCTTCCTCTTCTCCATATTGAACAGCGCCATCTGTTCGAGGAATTGGGTTGTTACGTTGATTGCACTGGCGAGATGTGAGGCTATCACTCGTCCTGTCGCTAGCCGTGTTTCCACACACATCTTCAGTCCCAAACGCCAGCTAATGTACACTGCCACGTTAATCATCTGTGGCTTCGTCTTATCGACTCTTCGATTGGTATTTCGACAAATGCTTGTTTGCACAAACCTCAATAACGCTGTTGTCCAGGTGGAGGCAAATCGGACTTGGGTTCAGGATGTGAGTGAGAAGGTGTTCTTTGCCTACCAGTCAGCTATTCCAATAACAATCGTTACCATATCGACGTTGTTCATGATAGTCATCCTCCTGAGGCATCGAATGCCTTTTGAAAAAAAAGGATCCATCCGACAAGCGCAGTGCAGGGACGAACGGAGTTGTGTTGTTTCTTCTCTCCATGAAGTCCGACAGGCGCAACGTCTGCCAAACCAGATCAGAGCGACGCGGTTCATACTTCTCATAGCCACAGTCTTCATTGTATGTGAGGCGCCGGTGTTTTTTGCGGTGGTTTTTGTTGAAGCCATCCCCAGGAACGCTGTGATTGGCATTTTCAAGTATCTGCGTTTCCTCATTGTGGCGGACTCTTTTGCCAATTTCGTGATTTACCTTCTTACGATCAAGCCGTTCCGCCTTGAGTTGGTGCGCTTGTTGTCCTGCCACACTAAAAGCAACTCTATGAACCCAGCGGAGAGAGTGAACATAGGTCGCAGCGTCGCCAACAAAGAACCGCGTGTTTCACGGACCAGCATTACCCGAACTTCGGCAATATCGTAATCATTTCCACTGTTTCTTGCTTCCACTGAAAGAGTAAATTTGTTTTATGTCCTGTGATGAGGTAATCCTGTCAAACCCAATTTGCCCTTACACCCCACTGAGAAATTCGCTATTGTTTGACTACCTAGTGTATTGCGTGAACCATTTCATGAGCAGCAGTCTCGCCAGATGTCAGTGCTGTTACAATTTCTCTCAGTGGGGATGCTTAGAATTTCGTCGCACATTTAGGGTTTGTAAGTTAGGCTGGCTGATAGAAAGGCTGTCAGTGCCTCTCACGTCCTGTTACTAGTGGATATGAAGACGTGCTTTTAGGTGCCCACTCCTCTCCCAGCACCTGTAAAACGTGTCATGAAGACGTATCAGATGTTCGTCTTGCTGATCTAAAAGTGACATCCGCATTTCACCGCAGGTGCACCACGCTATTCGTCTACCACAAGTCAGTCTTGACCAATTCCTCAAATCTGATATAGTGGAAGTGGCGACAATGGAGAATAGTGTCTTAGTCAACTGTCAAATATGCGCATTCACGGTTTTAATGTTTGCTCTATGTTAATCTCCAAAATGGTCGCTTTCAATCACGTTTGTTGGTGTAATGCACAGTGTGCAGGCAATCTGACGACTCTTCTGCCATAATCCGAGGGATCGCAACCGGTCGCATGAATTGGTGCAAGAAAGTATACACGCTCATGTCCCAAAGACACCATCATTCTGAGGTTGGATATTGAGAAAAGCAGTAGATAGGCAGCAGTGGCTAATCAGAAAATGCGGCAACATTTGAAATGTATAGGAATCGCCACGTCACATGTTGCTGGAGTGTTTTCATGTGGTTGTGCCATTGTCGTAAGAACTGATTCCGCAGACGTTAAGTAGAAGCATGTTATCAAATTTGTGTCTTAGAAATGTCTTAATATTCCTGAGGAAGTAAGCATTTACTAAATCGGAAGAACCACGAAGTGTGTGGAACTAAAGCGATCAAAATAAAGACTGAGGTGTATTATTGGGCTAATCGATTCATTACCGTGGCAAAAGGAATTTTGTGCTGAATATCCAAAGGCAAATTTAGTCCATGTGCAGTGAAACACGCACATATTAACGAGCATCTGCATGATCTCTTCGTCTTTGTCAACGACATCCAAATCCACAAAGTCCCTTGACCTAACGCAAACAGCACTTAACTGAAGTACCTTATCGGAAAGTAATATACAGAAGAATAACATGAAGACAGTATGCCTTGTGCATTTTAGTCCAAACAATACTGAGAGTGTTGACAAACCAACCCACCGTCCGTACTCTGGCGATGCTTGAAGCCCCACGGAATAAAGCATAATTTGGCACTGAATAGTGGTGCTCCTAAAGAAATTAGTACTTATCTAAGCCGATTTATGTCTCGGCGTTGCGTGTGCTGTTCTTAGCCCAAAAGGAGGAGCACTCAAGGGAGTGAAATCCAATTGTGGTGAAAGGTCGTTTGGTCAGAGGAAACATCCTGGTAAGAGGTCTCAAGAAGGAAATGTGCTTGTCGGTGCGGGTGGTCATTGAGAATGATGCGCAATCTGCACTTGGGTTCTAGCAGGGCAGCTTCTTCAATGCTGCATGTGGGCGCACACACCAGTCCACATTCCACATTGCCGATGACCACACGGTAGTGTTTGCGCCTCGCGGCGACGCTTTTGCTCACGAAGCCAAATGTCCGGTCAACGCGTGGTCACGTGGAGCCTCTGGACCAGGTCGAGCTAAATGAACCTCCCCCCATTAACAGACCCTAGTACATACAATTTCGCCTACCTGCTAACTGATACGTTTTCCGGAAGGTGAGGTCTCAGTTTACGAACTTGAGACGCATGTCGGAAGATGCTGGAGTGATGCTCCAGCTAGCACAGTTGCCTACTCCTAATCCGTCGGCTTACTTCTTCGATTACCGAATCCACCATTACCTGGGCTATGAGATGGGGCTGATTGATGTTTTGGGACGACAGCACACGTAACTTTGACGTAGGCTTGGTTTGAACGCCATGTCAAATATGGAAGAGACTAAGTTGGGAGTTGTCAACTTAATGAAGAAGTCACGTATGTTGCCAGATATCGTATTATGGCCTAATTTTTAGCACACGATGCAAATATGCAAATATGGGAAATACATTGTTTACCTTTAATGTAAGCGTTTGCTTTTACTCTCGTGCGCCCATAACTATATGTCTAGCCTGAGTGAATTAAAACTAGATGCTCAAAACACAAGCACAATCACGAAAAAGAGGAGAACTAGTTTGGTCAATTTGGACAAATTCTACACTCATTTAGTTGGCTCCCAGAGTGTTAGCTGAAGAATGGTTCTTTTTGAGGGAAAGGGTTGCTGCCTTAGTGTGGCTGTAAAACGATAAGGAATTATTTATTCACGTCATCCAGTACTGTTTCTGCCCCAATTGAAAAAACCACGAGATCCTTGGAATGCATTGTTGTGGTGGCGCGGACTTGCGGTACTATGAATGCCAATCCCCGAAGCCCTTTTTGACAGCAACTTTATGAAACAACTTGTGGATTGCTGAAATCTGTAATGTGCTCCAGTTGGATGGGTGAATGTTCCTGCTGTCTTGAGCGCATTTTGTTGGTTTCTGGAGCATTCCCCATGTTCCCTCTCATGTCTAGACTGGCTGAGTGTATTTCATTCTTCCGGTTCTACAAACCCAACGGAACTACTTAGCTGTGATTGTGCCTGATATAATTCTCTTGTGTGATGATGGAAAATGCGGGCTTTGTTAATGTTAAAAGATATAAATGCATCAGGTAAGGTTTTGTCCACAAACAACGTCAGCAAAATATGTGCTGAAACAATCTGGTTCTGAGTGGCAGGTATAATTCGAAGCAGTTTAATCGCGTACCTTGAATAAACCTGGAAACCAGAAGTCTGCCACATTTCCTTACTTTAGCGACTGTCGAGTTCATGTGTCCTAATGGCAACGGCAAGGTGCAAACTAGTCCCCATAGTGCAGTTAAATAAACCTCCTAAAGTAAGGATGTTCAACTCACACTCCGATAGCCTTCTATTGAAAAGAAGAATGTAGATCGCGGTTAAGCGACATGCTAGCATGCTTTTGCGTCACCAGTATTTCAAGCTTTGATCCTAGTGCATATTCGTACTGTCGTGTGAGCATTTCTTCTTCATCAATATTTATGCATTTTGCACACTTCAACTTACTCATGCGAAAACTCGTATTTTAGTCGCTAAAACGTTGGCGAGTGGGGCAATTCACTTAAATCGTACACCGGCCACAATAATAAAAGGACAAAATATGCACACAAGTGATTATGAAGGCATCTTAATAAAAGTGGCGCATAAACTGAACGCGGATGAAGTTGTGGGATTCAGCTAACAGAAGCATAGTTGGTGAGGCTGTCGCAAGATGGCATTAGAGACAGGCGAACACAGTGCCTGCGCAGGGCCATACCGAGCCGCATAACTGGTGCATAGGTGAAAGACACTTATGGCGTAGCAGACAAACCCAGACTGTGACATGTCACTGTGGACGTCGACCGAGTGCTTCATAACAATCTGTGTCACTGATTTGCATTGTCATATGCAGACTCTCCACAACCTGGCAGTGTTCACTGTCAGGCGAGAAACAAATGATTTCCACTTCCACAAGAACATGAATGGAAGAGTAGGCTAACAAGCATGTAACCTGCATTTGCACCCGACGATATGCTGTGTCCACGGCAATGAGCCGAATGCATAAAATTGCGGATAATCTAGCCATGAAATGTTGATCATCAAGAGAGTCCCGGTTTTCGAGACACGCTCATCCCAAAAACACATTTCTCATCGACACACACACCAGGCTCAAATCTACCGGACTGATGTCACACACGCTCTGGTGGAAGGCAAATGATAGGGTAACTTACCTTCTGGCTCCCCAAAGTCCTTACCTCACTCTCCTGCCAAACCTCAGTGTCCCCACCACAAATAATTGTTGTTTGAAAACTAACTTGCTGACAAAACCCACTTTATCACAATTTTCCCAAACACACCAAATTTCAAAAGGAAAAAGCTCTGTTGTGGACTCCGAATCTGGATTTCATTCTTAGCAACGGCGCTTTTTACTCATACTATAACTTATTTTAGCGAAGTAAATTAGGAGGGTTTGGTCTCTTAGTGTGTTCAACGTGAGCCCTTCACAATTCTTTGATTGTTGGTTTCCAGCTGCCTAATTTGGCACAGAAATACACTGCCCCAACCCCACCTTCCTGTCTACTCCATTGGCATAATATGCTAGTAAATATAATTGTGGCTACTGTCCGGTCAATTAAACCCCTTGTTGCGATGCCTTGAATCAGGCAATAACCCGGTGTTCTGCTTCTCTAAAAGCTGTTCGCTTCTTCCTAACACGGTGTACAAATTTAACTAAACCCCAAGAAGTTTGTAGTTTGAAACTTTGGTGTGGACGTCGGCTTTTCATTCAACTCGCCTAGTTTTCTACATTTGTTAAGTTGCAGTTTTGCCAAGATTAGACCTGCCTCACACAGTTTTTCACTTCTTTAAAATCATCCGCTCACTCGATTTCCTGACTCCCAAGTTAAACGCGCTTTGAATTTTATTGGCTGCCAAGTTGCCCAAGGCAAATATGAGTGGACGTGCTGGACTGTTTCTTGGCTTTTCGACAAGGACAATGCAAAACTCCTTAATATGTCTTTTCTCGGCACAGGTCAGGCCTCTTAGGCGTTCTTAAGTAGTGTGACTCTTGGTTAACAGCCAATCACAAATATTTACTTTCCTCAATGTAATGTTATAATAAAGAAGCAACTTAACAACAGATTTATCTATGAGTGAGTACGTTAGTTATTGAGACTGTATTGTATACTCGGCACTGCAAGTTACATGTTGTGGGCCCACGCATGTGGTCCTGAACCACGCCGGGGCCACGGAATTAACCATGGCCAGATTACTTTTGCCTAGATACCCGCGGTGAAGAAAAAAAAGGGCGGAGAGGACGTGGACACAACCATTTATTTTGGAGCTCAACCAAAACTGGTGTCGTTGTGTCGTGTGTGGGGTTTGCGCGTATGAATTTATACCTCGGATGTGTGAGTCATACATGCGCTAACATCGAGACCTAGGTGTGGGGATACTCCAAGATAAATAGTCGTGCTAATGAAGGGAAAGTCGAGGATTCGCACGGCTGGCGACATGCTGCGACAAGGGCAACCCTGTGTGGGATGTAGAGCAACCGGAATAGGGGGGTTGAATAAACACGATTTACAACATGTAAAACTGACTTTAAATGACCTTTTGAGTTTAGAGGAGATTCTGAAGTCAGTGTAGACGAAAATACATCGGTGCCCTTAATCTCTATCGTCATAAAAAGTTATAGAAACCAACCCCAATTACTGCAAGAGCTCCTGACACTTTGGAGTGTCCGGTTATTTTATGTAAAACGCCACCAAGGAATTTTAATAGATTAATATTTGTTTACTTGCTTCGGTTAACTTACATAGAGCCCGCCTTCGTGGGGTATCTTAAACAAAAAAGCCTAAGAAAATGGACGGTATTGTTAGACACGCCGATGAAAGAAATTTGGAAACAAAGTCATCCCATTACTTAGTCCGTGAACAGTAAGAAGATTGTATGAGTAGAGCTGTCTTAAATTTTTATCAACGATGTACTTTAACGTAACCAACGAAAACGCTTCGACACCAATGGAACAACGGCTTTAAGGTGCCACTCGCAGACTAATCTGCTAAGGCAATCGAGCAGTGGACGTCAGGCTACAAGCAATGGGCGCTTCCATAGTGCGCTGGTGTGGTGCGCCGGCGCAGTAAGTGGCCCACACGGCGAAAAACTCGAAATTGACACGACTGGGATTGTGGTTTTACACACCCTGAAACCTACTTCCTTATAAGCGTATTCCGAATTAAAAAGCTTCATTGCGCGAATAAAAACAACTACCACTTAGTGAAGTCAGTACAACGCCAAAAATTTTATTGGTACATTTCCGCAAATAACAACAGAGTAATATTCTAACCAAGCAGATGTTTAATTATGTAAGTAAATTATACTAATATTCAAAATGGCTAGATGGGCTAGATATCTTCCTCTAATTTCAACATTCATAAAACAATTTTCTAAGCTACGGTTGCAGTATTTTCGATTCAAACTATTCAATATACCTTGAACAGACAACTAATTGAATTGACTGAGCACATCTACTGAGCATCGTGTAGTGACTTGCTGCAGCATCTACAATTATCTGATAATCACCTCTACCTTCATTCAGTTCGTGTTTACTGGCCCATCACAGTCACTTCCGGTAGAATTATGCTACACTGGGCCACTTCTCGGGCCTAAAGGATCCGAAGTCGTTGTGGAAGTAACTATGATTCCGGGCTAAAGAAGCCCATTTAAAATGCGGGTATTGCTTGAAGCCTACGTAGGCAGTTGAGGGCAACGCGAATAATGCCTAGTAGGTGCGTGCATGTTACACAGGCTATGCGGATCTTGCGGCGGCATTTGGCACTTTCAAATACTTCACAATCGGCCTCCCAAGTAAACAAATTACCAGGTAACCAGCGTGTAAACAGGCACTATCATTGAGTGCTACAAGTGACGATATTTATTTTGTTGCAAAAACAGAGTATAGAACTGCGGATGGATTTCAAAGTACAGGAACAGTGATTAACCTAGTTGTGTTGTAACATTATATCTTCCTGCTTCTCCCATAAAAGTAAGCATTGAGCCTCAGAAAGACCTTGCACACAACACACGTCCACACGGCATGTTTCCATTAGCGTTTTTCAAAACACACATCAGCAGGCGCTTTTTGTTTAAATGTGTACCAATGCGAAGAGATGAGCCTCGTACAAATCTGGCAGCACCGCGGATGCCAACAGTGTTTTGTGCTAGAAATCCGTGTTTGCAGAGGAATCCGTGGTTCTCAAATGGCCAGACTCGTCACAGGCACTCGCAGTTCAAATAAAAATCCATCAGGTTGGAAATTCCTTATTCTAGAAACAAACCGTTTCACAAAACCCTGCACAATTCTCCTACGGCATTACGAAAACGATGTGTACTACAGCAAAATACTGCTGAAAATAAAGAAACTCTGATTCATATTTTTGATACCGATAACAAATTCACCACTAATTCCACAAATCTAATCGTCACATTAAATTCTGGGCATCAAAATGCATAGGTGACAGATATCTCCAAGCCTAAAATTTACAGAACATTTCTTCTATTTCCGTTACATCCACCACGCGACACATTCCTGACACTTTTACTACATGGTTGAAGTTACAACTTGTTTTTGGCTCTTTATGGCCTTCCACATGACCGCGACAAACAGAGCCATCAAGAAGATGGGTTATAAAAAAAAATTATCTGCTCTTGGCTTGAAATACATTACAGGTACTTACAAGTATATAGTAACGAGGATGCTATCAAAAAGAGCAATTCAAATATCCAAGTCGTCATCAGGGTCGTCATCGTCGATATCATCGAAAGCATCTGGATCATATTCGATAGTATTCTCAGGCAAAGAACTAATCGTCGTACTTAACTGGACATTCGCAGCAGTCTTATAGGGTAAAACAACTTTTTTTCTCTCTTCAATCTCCCTTTCTGATGGCGTTAAGTTGAATGTCGACGAGGGAAGAGACCCGCCCGCGTCACCTTTATCCACTTTTGAACTTATAACTGAGCAATTCAGTAAGGCGTGAGTTTTTGGACAAACTGTTATTTGACAATTTGCAGAAATGGCGGGTTTGTTTGAGGGCACAAGCGTAGCTGGCTGTTTCACCGATCTGTAGATTGAATCAGCAGTCCTTCGATGCCAAAATTCAGCCTCCAGTTGGTTGGACTTCTCAGCAGGCTTGAATCGCACACAGGTAGTTGCGCAGAACTCAAAGGCTTCTTGAACCTGCCCACTAGCCCATGTATACTTGCTACTCGCAGTTTCGGAGACATTGATGGAACAAACTACAGAGGCTGTACAGCGGCTTACTGCTAGAGTAAATGCGTATGAAGAAAGGTGGCGGGCCCAGTCGTTTAATTCATAGTCCGGAGGGCAGTCCATAAGAAACGCATCCATACTATCGAAGAATACAACAAACGGGCGACTGGATAGCCCGTCTGTGATTGCGGTTTCCACTTCTTTCAAACATTCAACTGCACTAGGAAAGTCCCAGATATTGAGTTGCTTTACTGATAGTGGTAATTTTGGGAAAGGCCCACCAGCTAGTTCTGACCTAACAACAATACAGGAGTATTTTTCGCACAATCGTTCACAGAGAATTGGCCAAATGTCAAAACATTTAGGGAAGGAAAAAGTGTTTTCAAGTAAAAGAAAAGACGAAAGCTTTCGACCAGTGAGGATGTCTAAGAGACTGGTGCTGGGAAGAGTCATCAAGCGACCTGAAAATAAACGACTAGAAATGAGAACCATCAAGCAAGAATACAAAGACTCGGCGATTTTTGAGGCAGGCAATTTCATCCTTCTATACAGATTGGGGGTATTTCGCGCCCGATGGACGACTTTAAAATGAAAATAACACAACAACTGATAAATAAGCAAAATTAATCTCATTTCTGGTTGTAAACAATGAGGCCTTATGGTGTTGCATACTGTGGATTTGCTTGCAGTGACAGAAAATTTATTTCAGGGACAGAAGGCCAGTGATGACAAACAAAAACCATGTCTTAGCAAGTGAAAGGAGAGTAAAATATTGAACGAGAAAACAGATTTATTGTGCTAGACTACTCTGAGTGTACGACATTAATCAAACAAACACGAAGGAATGGCGGAGAGTGTCGAAATAGAAATAAAGAACCAGTGGGTCTGGTGTCCATTTATGCAAAAAGTGAATTAATACCAAAATTAATTCAAAACTACAGCTAGGGTGGCCAAAAGTCTGAGTAATTGAATGATGGATTGGGAACATATTTAATAATAAGACTTCTTTTAAACCACGCCAGTGAATGTCTCAAATAAGGCAAATATGAACAGTGTAAAAAGAGCAACAAAATTTGCCATATCAGTATTATTCTCAAACGATAGTCGAATAATGTTATCATGTAAGGGTGATCAGCATTCCAAACCTTACTAGACGTACTGACAACTACTTTAAAAGTAGCGCCTGCAATTCTGTTGGCTGACATATTGGTAGGTCACTTCCATTGACCAATTAACTAAAGGAACTAATTTTAAATTCTGTGTGAATCTTGGTGTCATGACGGGAGTTCAGTAGGTTTTCCGCTCTGTTGGCTTTATTTACTAGAGATGATTGTGCCAGATTAAGAACATATATCAACGAACAGTTAATACGCACTGGGGAACGGGAAAGATTGAAGGACTTACTTAGAACGAGACTGCTAGAGTGTGGCTGGAGGGATGAACTTAAGTCCTATTGTAAAGGTTAGCCTTTTGCAAAGCATCTAGAATTCCGACAAATTAGCCATACTTACTTGAGTGCTTCGTATTTAATATGTCTTCATAGGTCTTTCTTTTGTGTTTGTCTAAACCCCTTTACACCTCAATTGCCACGATAATACCCCTTTTGTGAAATAGAACACCTAAGTCGACTAAAACGTGTCGTCGTTGCAAAATTATGCCAGCTTTAATAGCTCATCCCCTTTATTATTAAGATGTGATTGCAAAGAAAGGGCTTGAGAACGTGACGGTTAATGATCTCGTTACCGAAATAACGCCGGTTGGACGCCGTCTTGTTCCCGATTCTGTCAAGCAAGAACTTGTCGATGCTATACGGTCTTTTTTACCCAAAGAAAATGATGACGATGATGGCAATAATGAATGAGATTGCTCGTGCTTATTCTGTAATAAGTGTACTCAGTAAATCCTGATATTCCCTTTTTGAATATACTCATTGTTTTTACTCAGTGAGAGTAAATTGTAAACTTCGGCGTCTTGCTGGTTTCGAGTTCATGATTAGGTGACTTACTGATCAGATAAAAAGAGCAATTCTTTTCCTTTTTAATGATATTGGGCTGCCTACCCGTGTTGTCTTGTTTCTTTCCTACCAGTCTATCATTCCAGTGCTGCATCATTTCCTTACTAAAATGTCGATACTTTTGCCAAGAATCGGTTGGCTATCCATTCATGGAATTTTACTTTGGAATGCTACCGGGGGTTACTTGGTTGGGATAATTCGTCGACACATCAATTATACTATGATGATCAAAACTTGACCAGCTTCTTTGACATGCAAACTGTAGATCCAACCACCGATGTCACTGGATGCAGTAATGTATTTGTTACGTATATGGATGCGGTTTGCAAATGACATCACGGTCAAGTCCATTTAGATTGTTACTCATGAACTCGAAACGAGGCGACTTAGGGGTTTTTCCAAAACGAGTGACGGAGGCTTTTTGAGCACATCTTCCGTCGCTGGTGTAACGAACTAACACTCAACGTGAGCGCAATCATCAACTTGACACCCAAGTGATGGCATGATGCTTGGCTGGCCTTTCTGCCACCCCAAGAGCCGCCTCCTCCAGCAGGCATGATATGGTCTGGCCCGACTCCACATTAAATTGCTGCTCTTAGATATTGACCCCAAACTGGAACAACCTGATTGAAATTAGTCTGTAATTTCAGTAATCATACGAATACATAGAATGAAAGAATTGATTAGGTAAGCGAGTGCGTCGAAGTAGGCAAGACCACCCATACGCGCTCGATGTCAGTTGGACATCAGTCTTTCAATTTCAGGGCCAGGTCAACTGTAGTAGAATAGGGAGGGGTTTACCTACCCACACGCGCAAGTTTTCGAATAAAACCAAAACAAAGTTGAGGTAACCCAAGTGAGGGGACACAACCAGAAAGGTGTAAAAAGGATAAAAGAGCACTCGCTGTACCGCTGCCTGTTTAAGAGAGTTTGGGGTGGAAGGGAACGCGATGGTCAAATGAAGGGGACGTTACGAATGTGAACGAATAAGGGTAAAAAGTTGTGAAATATGAGGGTTACGTTGATGCAATGGTGAGAAGGGCTACCATGAACGTTAGGAAATGGGGAATACAAGGCCGGCGGAGAGTCTAAAAGGCAAGAAAGATTACTTCGGATAAAGGTTGTGCGTGGGACCAGTTGGTGCGGAAGCTATTCTTCGATGGATTTATGAGGATTAGGGTCATGTACAGATTTCTGGTAGAGTCAATCCGTTAAATCTGATTAATAAGCTTTTAACAATATTACTCGGCTTTCGCAATTTTATTTGACTGATAAGATTTGCGAAAAAAAAACAAAGATTGCAGCCCGACCAAGTAAGCTTTTAGGCATGGACACCATTCACGCATAAATTGTTTAGGATGGATGCCACGATGACTAGTGTTCCACCAAAAAGAACATTGGACGGAGCGTGTTACTGTTTTGGAAGCCTGATCTAGTGGCTTGGCTTTGCTTTGTGGAAATAACTGACATGACCTAGGACTCGCTACCTACTGTGTAAATGAACGCTCAGCAGGTAGACGTAATTATGTGATTGGCATGGTTTAGGAGCAACATCCTTTCGAAGTAAAACATTTGTTTCAGGATACATACTGGCTTGATAAAATTGGGTTTCCAGGCTGATGGCATTAAGTGAGATCGAAGAATGTTCTTGAGTCTGAGTTTGTACTAGCTGGGTTTTGGGGTGTGCTGTGCACCACTTCTTATGCCAAGCCAAGTTTTCGATAAATTGACCTTAGCAAAAATTATCAACACCACCAGATGTGAAGAAGTTACACTAGACTACTGAATTCAACAGGTCTATTAAAACAAATTTAATGTTATCGCGATGCGCAACGAAAATGCTGAATCATCTTTAGTTTCGACACACCATCAGCAATGATGAAACCAAACCCTGAGATGTTTTCGCAAACTAATTTAGTGAATAGTACCATCCATAGAAAAGCGACCTTGACCGACCAATGGTAATATAACCGCGTAGATCAATACCTAGTTCCGTTGATTGCCTTCACAGCGAAAGGCACGACACAAAACAATGTACCAGTGTAAAAATACTTCAGTAAGCAAAAATCCAGCAATTTAAATTCGTTGAACACTTTATTTCCCGAGACGCTACCGTTATATGGAGCGAGCCAATCAAACGGCTACTTAAATAGACACACAACCGTTCCAGAAACACCAGACATGTAGATTTACAAGGGCACCAAACCACTGTTTTCGAATAAGATGCCACGAGAAAAAATGCACCCAAGGTTGTTAGTTTTTCAAAGTTGACTAAGATCCTGTGCCATAGGTGATGATGATACGAAACATGCACTATTCTTGACATACTAAAACTAGAAATGAGTAAAATTAAGCTGTGGAGACGGTTTCATTTGACTCTGTGGAGTTATTACTGCAAATCCACTGGCGATATTACGACATAACTAGGTATGCACACAATCGCCACCTCTTCAGCCCCACAAGATTATTCACGTAATGTAACTGACTACATAAAAATTTGTCAGCCAAATCAAAAAAATGAACATCTACCCATCAGCGACAAGAAGCAGACACTACCATATACCCTCAAGGTAGCTCACCCAATATAAATTGCATGTTAGGAAAGTTCACTGAACACTCGGCTGAGTTCTACGCATCCACTTTAATTTGCACTAACCAGGCTTATTTCGTCAAGCGTGAACAATTTGGTCCACTTCAAGAAAGGACATTAGGAATGAAAACGCGACTTCAAAAGCATCTAAACAATCCCAAAAGTCTCGACTTTTTCCGCATGCAAACCTGTAAAAAATAGTAGGTTAAGCGGAGATCAAAATTCGCACTAAACACACTTTTTAACAATAAGCCATAGTTTCGAGTAGTAAACTGCAACAAGCCTTCACACGCCCATTTCAATGACTTAGTCGTCAATTCTATAACAACGAAGTTACCAATGCTACAGCGCAGTTGAATTCACCCGCCACTTGAACATGGACCTACTTAGAAAGGATAACCGAAGTAATATCTTGAGGCGACCAAAAATTGATACGAATAATTTCTAAAGTGCTAAAGCTGTCTGAGAATCTCATCTGACGTTCTTTTGGCCGTTGGAGGACGATCCAATTTGGGTCAATATTATGTTTTACAGAATTAATAAGAACCTGGCATTTTATCTAACCAGTACTTTAAATTTGAGCGAGACAATCATGTTTTAATTACAATAAAAAACTGAATTAACACACGCCCGCCATTTAAATTAGTTAGGCAACATCCGGTTTCACTTACAATGAAGTCATGGAAATGTATTGTTCTGATTGTACCAAGTGAATCACACGTAACAGAAGAAAACTACTCACTATATCTAGCAGAATTAAAGTCCAAGTGCCGTGCAATGTAAAGAAATATAGCAATCGGAAAACGGGGAAAAATCAACTGTAACTGATTGCGCATATAACTGTGGCAACCAATATTATGTAAGTCAATGCACGATTTTGAGGATTGGTTACTGCAAGTTAAAGTAATTACATTGAATAAAAAAGGAACAAGACTATGATAGGCATGCAAGATATAGCACCAAAGATTGAGGTGAAAGTTCGCCAAAACGGTTCCACAGAAAACAATAGTACCCTACTATTACCTAACTAACCCCGTAGACGACGTCACGTGACTTTCGTTTTAAGGATGATGAAATAGCACCAAGCCCCGGGGAAACTGTCAACAGCTACTTTCAGAGTTCATAAGTGTGCCCAGTGAGCGACCAAACACTTCGAACCTCTGCATTCACATACATAAAAAAATCAAGAAACAGCTTTAGGGGCAGCCACACAACAGCCTACCTTGGCAAAGGAGAGTGCGCGCGTGTAGGTAGTGCGAAAGACTATTTGGGAGAGATTACCGTTTTCAAAAGCTACTACACTCGATAGCCGTTGGTCTTCTCAGCAAAATACTCGCCAGCATGTAGTTGAAGCTTTTCGCTGCGGTACCGCGTCAGCCGAACCGAAGATCGTACAGCTTCGTTTATGGGACTCTTGTAACCACCCTTCCTGAGCAGCGAATCAATTGTCTCCTGGTGATTCCAACCTAGATAGCATGGGATGAATAAGTAAATATACAAGAAGTACGGTATCCCAAACTGATAACCAATAAAAAAATTAATACATGTATTAGTAGTACTGTAATTATACAACTAAGTCAGGCCACTATTAAAATGAACTACGCAAAATATCTACCAATTATACAATAGGAATTGGAAGTAACCTACGACGGAATCAAATGGAAATTTGCTGCTTTCATGGAACAGACACATTCAAACCAATGATTGCACTGCGGTAGTACACCGTCTAACATTAATAACAGGGAACATTTTCTACTGATGCAAGACATTTGCATATAATTGTGGAAACAAGAGGCAGTGAAAATACGTTAAATGTGCATCCCAAGAAAACCAATTTGTTCCTGAGGGAAAGCACTTCGCTCGAAAGGACAGTATATTGGTGTCCAAATAAGGCAAAAGTTTAAAAAAAATGGTGTAACGCATACTACCGTGCACCGACGGTAGTCGACTCAATGAGCAGACGAAGAGTGCATGAAAGTACCTGAAAAACTCGGGCAACTTCGTAGTTATGGCATATAATGATGACACTAACCTTGTTCCACAGCAACTTCAGGGAGGTATGTGGCGGAGCGCTGAGACCCACGTTCGTTAACAAACTCTATACGAATTCCGTGAACACCAACCTAAAACAAAAACAGGTTAGCTTAAAATCGGAAATAAATGGGTTTAAGGTAAAGAGGGGCAAATTATATTTGTCACAGACGGCTAAATCTAAATATTCAAGAGTAAAAAATTAACCACAAGCAGGCGGATGCAGATAGAAAAAGGTCTACACTCAGAAACCCATACAAGGAGTTTCATTTATTTCAATACTTTCTTGAGGCAATAGTATTAGAAACAAAATGTATCCCTTTCAGATACAAGAATACTCAAGTCGGAAAGTTGTACAACCCTAAGCCCTGTACACTGAAGAGAACAGCTTTAATTAACAAGGATTTAACCTAGGACGTAAATCGAATTCCCCGAGATGCCCACATGTACGAGCAGGAAAACCACGGGTGAAGATTATGCACGATCTTCTTGCATTTATTTACGTGGTTCTGACCTGCCAATCCTTATAATCAGCCCCTTCCTCGAAGTCGGTCAACAATGACACGGAGCAATAGAGGTGAGGAAATTCCTTTTGTGTTATGGGTGAAAACCGTGAATCCCTCATTGCACTAAAACCGTCAACGTAAAAAACGGAAATACCTGTTTAAAGCATATTCACGAAGACCACTATGGAGATTCATTGCTTTGAATGTGCCAATGCAACCGCGGAGGCGCTGGTCTTTGCCATATGTCCATGTTACAAACAGAGGACTGAAAATATGAATATCACAAAAGACATACTATGCATTGTTTGGAAAGGTTCTAGGCTGAGGTGGAGGTTCTTGATTAAAAAGCTGCCTATGGAGGACATCAAAGCAGAAAAGGCACATTTCACGTCGCACAATAGGGAGGGAAAGGCCATTTGAAGGCGCAAGAGCCCTGTCTTTGTCGCAATCACCGTTTAACTTGTCCAGTCGCTGTTTTTTCCCTCCCAAAGATGGCGAACTAGCATCAAAACTATGTTTTGACATTTACAAAGACAGACCAAACACCTCCAACGAAGCCAACCAACCCCGAATGCGGGTTATCACTTCAACAGTTGAGGCCTATAGAGCCGACTTGGATTATATAAACAAATAAAATATCTAAAATTTAATAGAAAAGCATTGTAAGTGATGATTCTGTTATGCTAAACAATTTGTTTTACTCGTTCAGGTTCAATTGCTTTGTTTTGTTGAAAATCATTTATTTACGTTAAACTACAATTCAAGATGGACTTGGTTTTTATAAACTATGTATGCTACTATACAGTTTTCTTTAGGCGTTCGCAAAACTGAGCGTTATAAATATTATAATATCATATGATCACAGGGGTTTTTCTGCGAAGTTTCTGACTAAGCATAATATCAAATAACCAAATTTTTTTAACAGAATTACACTCACGGAGCAAAATATGCCTTCGCATTTTATGTGTATCAGCCAGTTAACTACCATTGCGGTGCAATGTAAAGTAAGCCATGTTTTCTAATACAATGAGGAGGGAGGTTTTATCAACCATCGATATATCATTCTCGAACATAATCAATATAGGTCAGCTTATTACTTAAAGAACCAGCATCTTTTAAAATACTTAAGGCCATAGATAAGACATTTTGTGTAAGCAGTATTGATTTTCACTAGATAATTTCTCCAGCTGAAATTACCTCGGCATTTCTGATTGTCTGATTTTTCTTAACTGTTGATTTTTGATTTAACTACCTTACTATCACGAAACTATAAGAACTCTTTTTGGGTGCGCAGCAAAGCAAGTTTGTGATAACTCAGTCGTGCAAACGAAAAAAGTTTCAGGCCGTTAAATTTTCCCGATTATTGACTGTGTTTCTCTGAATCACATGTGATTTCTCACAATCAACCTTCAATCAACCATGTAGATCGGCAATACCTTGGCTAAGACGTTTGCGTAGCAAATGGTTATTAAATGCAAATTTGGATTGATGCCACAGACCAGTAGAACTGCATGTCTTGACCAGTGCTCATTTACCATCCTCACGGTTAATTCCGCCAGTGATATCTTCATAAATGTACACACACGCATGTATGATCCTTTTAATCAGTGATTTCATTATTTAGCTTATTATAAGCGTATAACTTTACCTTAACCCTTTCTATTAATTAGTACCAATGTCCATTTCTCACACATACATAACGTTTGAAACGTTTGTGTGCGCACATACTTCCACCCCACAACAAATAAGTGAAGATTTCTATAAAAATGTAATGCTAAACTCCCTGAAAATCCTTTAGTTCTTTGTCAAAATCCGATTCAAGTAAAATTTTTGGCCCGTTAAAAATTCGGCTCGAAATCGTCGTCTCCGCATGTAGTAATCCCGACGACTTCACATGTTTTCTCTGGACGAAACTTTTGGGAATTAGGCATCCCCAAGACCTAAATCGTCAATTTATTCATTACGTTAACATTTTTACATTAATCACATTTTGTGCACGCCAAATATCGCATTTATTTTCCTTCCTTATTATCATTATTTGCTTATTCATAATTTTGCTAAACCATCACTTCTAGTTAAACTCCAGGTCGCCCACAATCAACAGTCTACATTTATATATGTTATTGCACACAAAATATTTGCATTAATCTATTTAGCACTACCCCACCAGAAGTTAGTATATAATTTTCCCTGAGCTCCCATGGGCGAATTTTCCATTTCCATAAAATCAACGCCTACTGATCTGGTGTAAGAGACACGTGACATCCATGTATTAGTCGTACCTGTGTTATAGTAATGGAAACCAACACGTTAGCTTCTTTGCATCTTTAAATTGATTTCGTGTTCCTTTAAACCACTAACAATTGGATACAAAAAATGCCACTAACGAGTTATGTCACCAGGAGACATAAAAAATGTTTGCAATTTTTAAAAGAAGGTTACCATTGTGTTTCTTCGTCAGTGGCGATATTATTCTTGAAATCAGTTGATTCATTCAAAGCAATTCATGACATGATTTTCTTGGTTCTAGTGAATTTATCCACCAGTTCAGATCGCATAAGGGAGTAAAATCCAGATCTTTTTCTAAAATTATCTCAGCGTTGGTTATTAAAGGCACACTCGCGACACAAAACACAGCTTTCATTGTTCTTATATCTATACCTTCACCTAAGAGAAACGTTTTGACACAATATCTTGAAATGTTTATATTTAAAGTCAATTAAACATAATTTTTTGTCCATTACTCAGTCGTTGAAATGCAGTACATGATAGCTCTTATTAGTTGTCCTACACGCGGTTTGCCCAATTGCGTCTTTTTTGCTCATTTTGGGTTGCGGGGCGTCGGTCTAAATCTAATAGCGTGGATGTTTGTAGTACTTTCGGTATGACACACATCTTCGTTTGCCCAGTAAATACGTTTGCTCAAAAAAACTTATTTATAGTATTCATATCATTTTTTATAGTCACTATGCATTTCTAAGATAATCTGTTTACTTACGCATGTTAAGCTGCTTGGGAAGTGTGCACCGTACTTTTAACGTCATTGCGAAGCTTTAAGTTATATCTGTCAATTTTCATGTTCAAGCTTTTCTTTGAACGTTTTGCATTCTAGATTTGATGATTTCTCTATTTTTACTTTAGCATTCATGGAATCCGAATTATGGAGTTTATTGACGCAGTTGCTGACTCGAACTCTAGGTCAGTCTGTCAACTCAGAATTGGAAAAGGTTCGTGCTGTCTTTCCGCAAGCGGGCCTCCATCTCCAAAATATTATATCTCAGCTGGATTCATTACTGCGTTTTATGGATGAAAAATATAGACAAAAACTGATTCTTCGTATCCTTAGTGACATATCTATTTGGGTGGAACAAATTTGGCAGTAAGTAGTTTGCTCGACCCATAATATGCTTTTGCTTGCCTTGAAAGATTAGCAATGCTGCATTAACATCATTGCCCTTTTGTAGTCAGTTGTCAACAGAATTTTTTCAAATGTAGTTATAACCAGCATGAAAAATAGTCTTGCAATGCTTTTAACCCAAAATGACAATGCCAGAAGTTTGCAGACATTAAGGTTTCAACAACGTAAGGTTACAGAATGTTAATTTTAGAACCATAATTAATGTTTGTTGTTCACGATTGTTTGAAGTTTATGATACCGACCAGATTAGTTTTTTATTTTGAAATATGCTCAAATGCCGTATTTGGCAAATAGCAAATTTCGATGAAAATTGCAACAAATTTCTACTTTCGTTTCCGTTTCCAGTTATTCGGCATCCGGTCTGCGGATTTGTGGTAGCTATGAAAATTCGGATGATTGTATTGCAACGGCATGCCGCGTTGCTCTGCAGGAACTTTGGTATGCAGATACTGGGTCCCCCGGTTTCTCAAGTGCCATCTCAGATCCTACGAAAAGTAATGCGACTGCTCGTCCTGTGATATATTTGAGCCCTGCTGCACCCCCCTATTTGCGCCGATGGTTGTCACTTAACGCAAGTCGCCTCTATATTCTTCTTTGTCGTTTCCGTGCTTATTCATTGGCTCCTATTTTACGCTTTGCATACCTGGTCGTTCGTTTATCGCTAAGCTAGTCATAAAACTAAGGCCGTAGATGATTGGGGAGCGCTCGACAGAAGTAAGACATTGTTCTATTGTTTAAAAGTAATCATTTTTTTCGAAGTCCGCGTACATTATTATCGCACTAGTGAAAATGAATAAGGCTGTGGAGTCTACAAATTTTAATGCCTAAATCTCCTTTCGTTATTGCAAAATTATATTCGCTTGAAAATTTGGAAAAATATAAATAGGAAACGTATTGACCTAATAGTATTCAGTCATGTCTACCAAAAATGCGACTAAAATATCAGGGTATCGAACAATTGATGATTTGCTAGACATGACTTTAAAATATAAACTCCACAATATTGTTTATTTATTTTGACAACTGGGCACAATATTTTGATAGAAATATATCTAACCCTCCTGCCTCTTTAACCTATGCGTTATACTAACGTGGTCTGCCAGTTTATTAAATTAAACCTTCTTTTTTACAAGACCAGGTCATTCAAACGTAGAATTAGTTGTAGCTCCCTTTCTGTAGGAGATTTATATTCTAAAACAGTGAAAGGAGGTTGTTCCTCTCGTTCATCATAGGGAACTTTGTTTTGAACATAATTCGAGGCCAAATCTCCACTTTCTGCATATCCTTCTGTAGCTCTGCTGTTCTGGCCTTCTGATCACCATTTTGTCAGCCGACGAAAATAGTGACTTGCCCACAATCGTAAGTTCTGTATTCCTGTCTGAGGTTTTATGAAATCCAGTTTTGATGCATGCAAATCTTGTCTGAAAGTAACTGATGAGATTTCTGAAAGTAATTTTACGATGCCATAAAATCCCTTTCTCTAGTCATCTTTTTATTTGGCACCCATCTTAGGCAACTATGAGTTCTCTGGCTTGGTCCTGTACGCTTTAATGTGCAGTGCTTTTCGTGTGACGTTTTCTTGTGAAGGTGGCAACCTACTAGAATTCTCATGCTCTAAAAGCGTAAAATTTGGGGATTTTACAAAGCGTGCCACCTGTTCTGTTATCTTCAGAGTCTGGTCAATTTCGACGCTGTGGGATCAGAACGGATCAGCTTTCACACTGGTTGATCCCGTTTATTAAGTATCCAGACGTCTATGATTGCTATCACGAAATGCCTTTCTACTTGTTGATATCTGTTGATGCCTGTAGATTGTTAACTAATGTGAGGCGTTTGGCATTCTACTATGGACCATGTGTTGACTTAGTATTTGGAGGTGACTAACATTGTCAAAGCAGGTGTCAATTTTACAATCAACCCGTTTCGTATAATTAAAAAATGTCTATTTCTAACATTAAAGACACTTTCCTTTATTTCAGAGTCTGCCACATTTCGAAAAGTCTGTCCAAAATGACTTACGCCTGGGCCGTCAGCCATTACTATTGGTAGCCTACGCAGGTTTGAATTTTAATTACTTTTATTAGTCTGAATATATGTTACTAATCACTGCATTTTTTTCGACCAACCAGGAGCAGCACATCTTGGAAGCTCTGATTGCCTCCAAGCACTTGTGGGAGTATGTCAACGCCACAAGATATGGCTTCATGTCGAGGGGTAGATCTTTTACATTCCTCTTCCTTTCCATTTATGTCCAAAATCAGCATTTTAATTTGCTGTTTTGCTCTATTTTAGATTATCTTTCCTCCGAATGGCCCTTGTTGATAGTCCACCAACAAAGCCGAATTCTGTGACGGCTATTAATAGTGTTAATTTAGAACTCTCGAGGTTCTTCGGCGCCCCTCGGCCCATCAACCTTGTATGCCCTTTTACTACCTCTGTCTACTAGCTTATGTCAGCCAATTATTTTGCATGTTGAGTTAGGCGAAGTCTTAAATAATTAGCGTATTTCTGTTTACCTGCTTGATGTAGAGCAAAACAAGTGTGGTCTCTATAAACCCCTGTTGGAATTTCCCCTTTGATGACCTTAGTTCAGTGAACGCAAAATCAAAGCATCAGCCTCCAAGTCAGGGTACTTCTAGGCGCAACGTGCGTTTATCAAAACGCTTTACGCAGTTCAATCTTTAAAAGATAATGTCGAAATGGAAGTCAATATTGGTTTTTACCTTAATGTTCATTTAGTACCGGATTTGCGTCACGATGTTTTTGTTTAATTTCCGATCTACTGATCTCACTCAGCTCCTCATGCGGTCCTCGCTGCCAGAATCGATATTACTGTACTTAAACGTCTTCCCTCCGAGTGTGGCCACGGACGAGGCCGATGGGGAACAGCCGTGGTTCCTTCCGCGCGCTTTTCCCACCACGTGTCTCGCTGATGCTCTTTTTGCTTGGGTTTATTTTCGCCTGCAAGATGACAGTTACGCTAACCGGCTCCGTCACGCCGACCATTTGGTAATTCCTTATTGAATTAATCGAATGTAATTCCGTAGCAGATATTTATATCAAAATAGCCGAAACAATCGTCATGTCTCTTTATTTGAATTCTGAGTCCATGTGTGCATTCAAAACACTAACATGAAGTATTTGAAGTGCTTCCCACTTTCATGGCACCGATAGATCTCAGGTCCCTCTAAACGACTTAGGTTGGTCGTCAGTTTCTACAGTGATGCAAAATGGCCTAAAATGCCACTTGTTTGTGCGTTCTTTATTCCCACTATCTTTATGCATTCGCTCACATTTTAGACGGTGTATTCACTGGAGAAAATCCAATCACTCCAATCAATCGAGGTTTTCGTAAGTCTCTCCTGTAAAGTTGTAAAATGTCACACCTGTGCCACATGTCTCACCCCTACTTATGTCTTTATTAAATTCGTTCAGCAGTCTTAGTAATGATTAAACTTTTATGCTTCATGTAAGGTTGTCTAGTTGAACATTAATTCCGGTTGCGATTTCCAGACCGCCATTTGCTCACCAGTGGCTTCAGCCTGTGTCGTGTCTTTGTTTTATTGATTGTTAACTGGAAATCGATGTAGAGTAGAATTTTTACATCAATTTTAATTTCACTAACACCCAGTTGCTAGTTGTTGCGATTTCCTATGCAGGTTACGCACCCTTCTATTGACCAGTAATTTATGTTTTCCTGTAGCCTCATCAAAATCTTTGTTTGACCGTGGCTTCTGATGTTGAAGCATTAAAATCACTCGATGGATGGGAAGCCAACTTTAGGAAAATGCTAGTAAGTCACGTGATCTCCATTAACAACTTCAAAATGGGTTTGGAATATCCAAACACTAGGTTTAAGTATGTCTTCCTGGAGCTATAGAAACAAGCTTTATAAGTTCTACACCTTTTAGCTTGAAAATTCTTCGAATTGCCCGACGATCCTCTTCCGTTATGTCCTACCATCGCAGAAATCTTCGCAAGGTATGTTATATTGCTTGCAAATTTGTCTGCGGTATTGGCACTAGGTTTTTATGGTTTGTTTCATACAAAACCAATAGGGATTTACTAACCTAACTGGATGATTACCATAAAGAAAATCAAGGTTTTTGGTTGAAGCGTGCGTCAGACGGTTTGTTGCTTCATTTAATTTGGGCGTGGCAATTTCTGGTTCGTTTCATTTCATGTAAAGACTCTTCATTTTTAAATTCTAAAAAAGTTCTTTTCTTAAAAAAACCAATTAGAAGCTTACCTCGTGTTTATTGTTTTTGTATCTCCATTGGACAGTTACATTTGAAACCAGTTCATCATTGTCAAGCCCAATAACCCGTCCGTTCAGTTGACATCCCTTATAATAGTTCCTTGCTGTTTTACGTTTTCAGTGCCATGTACCCAACGGAACTCGTATCCGAGTTCGAGTCATGAGTCCATTCTCAAACCTGGTAAAACTCGCTTCATGTCCGACTCCTCGCCTCTGGATACCTACGAGGACCCCTTCAAACTTCCCGACCAACGCTTTACGAATAGCCTCAACCAATGGGTAATTGCCTTCAGATTATTACAATTAGCAAATTTCGCGGTCTATTGCCCCTAGAAAGTGATTATGTTCCGTGAAGTATCCTCCCGCAGAACGCTGGTTCTTAGCTTGGTTCTTGATTTCTGTCATGCCAAAAGGTTGTTTGAAGCTGGCCGTCCTCACAGTTTGTCCAGATAACACCCGCAACAGGAATAATGGATATACGGGCTAGAATCGAAAATCAGCAAAAACAATCCGTTATGGTAGATTTTAATAGTGCTATCCTAAACAAGAAATATTGTGACAAAAAGTAGAATAAACAATAAATGTTAACAACAAATAGAGTCCTTACCACTATTGGGGATTTGAATAGTGTTCCAACAAAACAAAGGTTTATACGGAAGTAACATGACAGATGTTACAGTTTGCCTCCTTGAGCCATCCCCACCTTGAGGTTCCATGGTTTAAACAGGGGCGCTTTTATGCCCCGTAAACAAGTCTCTTCGTCCTTCTCGATTTGGCATCAGGCCACTAATCACCGGATGCTCAATCTTACCAGTCGCCCACTGTGCGTGATGGAAAGTAGTTGTAAAATAATACTACGGGAACCCCCGATGTCACCAAATGTCCTAACTATCTTTAATCGGAATGTCTTTTGATAAATTAACGGGCTTTATTTTTATGCGGGATTGTATACCGCAAAGTAACCTAAATTATTATCCTAGATGTGCTTACCGTCCTTCAAGGATGGCTTCAAGATTCACGGAATACTTCTGCTGTGTATTTCGCGAAAGTTTGTACACGAAGAGTCAAAATCCGGGCATTGCAGTTTCACTCCGTTTTCAAATCATTACTGCTTTGAATCAGTTTTGCAAACATTAATTACCTACCATTTCATACTATTTTGGACATTTTCTCCGTTAAAATGCATAGGAATGGTCCAAATAGGGTCGTCTTTTCAAAGGTTAAACTAAGGTCCTGTTAAATCCCTTGATAGGCCAATCTTGGTCAAAAATTCAGTTATCCTAGCAAAGTCGAACACTCATGGACTTATCGCCTGGCAGTGGTTAAAGGTAAGTTCTAGGGTGCTGGTAACATATCATTCACAGATGTAGTGCTGTGTAGTTACTCACGATGTCCAAATGTCCAACAATTAAGTGCGGTAGCGTGGCTGCCTCTACTACTTCACAAAATGAGGACTCTAGTTAATTTATGTCTCCGATTGCCCTAAAATAGTCGAGTTATTGAACGGGTTGGGTTCTTTGTGATAATTATCCCATTTATTTGAATGCTGAAAGCAAACGATGTGCGGTGGTGATCTGAATGCAATGCCTAAAACACACGTCTTCTTAACGTATTTCCACATCCTCAAACGAGTCGTTCAAGAGTGAATAGATATCCTACAAATTGCTACAAAGCCATAAAGTTGTGTCTTAATGCAGCTGGCATACAAGCACAAAATTCAGTTACTTGAGTGGGAAAGCTGTTAGAGTATCGATCACTGACCTGAGAGAACGCCCTTGGGTTTTCTGTTTGAAGAACAGGTTGCTCTGGTTTTGCCATGATAAATGATAAATTTGTATTACTTTTCACGTGGTACTTTCTTAAAGTATTCAAGCTAGAACAGAGTTGTAAGCGGTTGTACGGATTTTGAGTGGAAGTCGCTGAAAGCAGTGACTGAACCCGTTCCTGACATTAACGGTATTTGCAGAACACGTCCTGCTAAGAGCGTGTTGATGTCTGTGCGGTGGGTTGAGACACCGTTGCCCCGGCGGGTTATTGTCGCCTTCGTCAGGTAAGGTCGAAGGTGCTCAAAAACATGTGGGTGCTGGTCCTGGTAGAAGTGGGTTGCGCGAAACGGTTTGCCAACAAGGCGTTTTGACGACGAGTAATCACTATCCTTAATGAGGTTATTGATTCTACGTTTAATTATATGTATCAAATTCCTTGAGAACTGTGGTCGTCAAGATAACTAGTAACTTTAGCTGTGCCAGTTCGTCTAAACTCCTTCTCATTGCTTTTTCGTACCAAATACTCATGTTTTCACTTTTTTTGTTTATTTTAGCTCGCAAGTGCTCTGCAATTCGAACAGCCGAATCTATCAATCAAAACGTATCTTTTACCAAATCACTCTCTTGTACTACGCTTTTCCCTTCTGGATTCTGCAAATCGTTAGTTTTCCTGATGTATTTCGCTCGCATAGGTTGGAGAAATGAGGGCTTATGCGGAATCACCAACTATTCATCGCAGACTAATTAGCAGGGTTAAAACAGTATATATGCAATAAATTTATAAAGTTATCATATGTGGCCTGCTTAGTCGACATTCGTTTGAGTGCTTTTCAATTGTGCGCACAAACCTCAGTTAATATTTACCACTTAGGTTTCTTATAACTTACCCATCTTTTTTTAGTAATGACTATCAATGATCACGATATCGACACCTTCGTCGGGAACATCATTCTCAACTGTGTGGGTTTTTCGTTTTACGGTTTTTTTAAAGACCCCTTTCTGAGTACGTAACTTAAAATCGCTGACCTTGAATCGCTACCTGTGCTTTCGTGTGCCTTGAATTCCGCACACTTAAACCATGAACCAAAACTCATATTCAAATTCAGGTAATAAACTCAGTCATAGTCAATGGCCTAAGTGAATGCAAGCAAAGCACGATCTATTCAACAAAGACGTCTGTGCCGTGTGATGCAAAACAAACAATGAAAAATGACCATTCGAATTGACGTTTTGTACGCTTTAAGGAGACCGACTTGGGGTCAATAAAAACCATTCCTAATTATCCATATGGTCTGCAGACCTCTTTCGTAACCTTTTTGGCTTTGAGTGCCTTAATATTGTTAGTTATTGAGCGTTGCGGACGACGAGCGGTTAGCTTTTCCAAGCAGACCATTCCAACATCTTCAAGCATTTAAATTGCTGGCTAGGTGTGGTTTTTTATGTAGTATGCCAAGTCGGTGCCCTCCTACTCGTAATTGCGGTGTTGTTTTAGGCATGCTCACTGCCTACGCTTGTTGAATCATGCTTAAAAGCGCTTACATGGAGTGTGGAGGAATTCGGCCGACGTTGTCAGCCAGGCAACACCTTCCAAGGTGTAATGACAATCTAGAAAGATGCTCCCTATCATGTCCATTAACTATCCACTCCAAGTAACTGCCTCCAAAACGTGAATGGAGTCGCCGTGTTTACCTAAGTGCAAGCGAAAATCTTCCTCATGTTTTCTTAGTCTAAAGCATATGGCTTCCGTTTGGGTTTCCCGATTATCGGCCCTGTAAACTGTGAGAAAGGTTATTCAATCATCTTGAATGGAAATGCAGTTGTTTTTGCTTTTCCCTCACCACGCACCGCAGTGGCTCATTCAAACCGTAGAAACACCGGTGTATTGTGGAGTCTTCCTCTGCGTTATTTTCAAAATAATTCCTTTCTGTTAATTCTTCACTCTCGACTTTTTTTACGGTCAACTTCGTGTGCTGTCGATTTTTTCCCTAAGCGAGTTCTCCACCATGCTGTACGGTTGCTCATTTGTAACTCTTTGCACAATTTGTAAGTCAATCGCAAGCACAGTACCTAAAATCTGTCATTTACAGTCTTCATATTCATAAGAACTTGGAGCAACTCGTCTTCAAATTTCAAGTTTAGATTCAGGTTTTCCCACTTGTATTTTTTCGCAATTATATTCTTGCATGGGGTCATCTAATGGTATTTTGATGTTTGTCCTAGTGATCAGTATATGAGCAGCGGAACAAATTTCGGCTTGTGTGTGTGTGTGGGTTCGATTTAAAAACTTTTTTTCCTATATTGTCTCGAGTAAATCTTTGTTGGTGTGTGAAGAACCAAACCGACATCAGCAGCTGCAAATGACACCTAACATTCGAGTATGATGTCGGTCAAACGCGTTTCGTGTTATCTCAGAGTCACGAGCCGAGATCAGGGGAAAGGTGTCTGTGCGTGGGGTGGGGGATGGATCAGCGACTAAAAGCCACCTTTTACTCCGTAAACCCCTTGACGCCTCTCAAACCTAAACCACTGTCACCTACTTGCCAGACCAAACTCAAACGTTCATTGTGCGCTTGGATTGTGAGTGGTACTAGTGGCTTAATTATGTTGCAATTAGGCGACCTTTTAATAGCCGCTTGGGGTATTGCATCAAAGCTGTGTGTTCTTGAAATTATGATGTGAGTGACAGTCGTTTTTTATAGCCATGGAGAATAAAATTTGCCAATAATTTGACAGTTTGCGTTGCCTCATTTTTTCTAGGCGATTATGGAAGCGACATGGAAGGAGAGGTCTGCGTTTTTTAATATGATTGCTTCAACCCCTGGCCTCTACTATCACCACTTGCCAGACTGGGCAGGATTGGGTGCTGCTTTGTATGTCTCTTTTGATAATAAACGTATTACGTTAATCTAATTCAGTAACGAAAGTTTATTCTTTTAGTTATGTGCCCCACGCCTACCGTTGCCTCTTGCCTGATGGCCGTGCACTTTCGCTGGTAGACCATCAGAAAGAACTTTCCGCTGCACTTCTTCGCCTGCCTGCCAAAGCCTTCAAATATATTTGTGACATCAACCGTGACATAATTTCACGCTTGCGAAGTCAAGATTTCGCATTTAGTTCGGCTCGTGTTAACCTGCATGGCTACCCTTCATCGTCCAACACCTGCCGCCACTCTTCAGCCGTTTTTATTACCGAGGCACTGGACTCTCTAGCCTCTTCACTACACAACGCAACTAGCAACAATGCCTCGACGCCGAGTTCGCCTGACGATAATGGAAGTTGTCACTGTGAACAGTCGCCAATTGTCCACGACCAACTCTCCTGTCTGAGGTTCGGACTCATTATGCCTGGCACGGACATTTGTGAAATGGTGCAGTTGGTTTTGCGAACTGCCAATGCTGTGGAAGAGGAGAGTAATGTAAGGGTGTGCCACAGTTTAAGCCCTTATCTCAAATACCTCTATCGGGTTGTTGTCCACTTAAACACAGACGGATACCTTTAAGTGTGTTCGCAGTGTGAAATGTGGGGTTTGCATAGTTTTACTACACTAAAATGCTGCTCTTGCTCTCTACTACTTTCATTTAATAAATTTCTCCAGTTCGGGAGGCAAGTCATCTTTGTCGAAGTTTTAATAGCTAACTTAGGATTCGTTTGACGCCAGTGAGTCTTTCTTTAGTCTAATTGCTGAATGGTCGGTAGGTAGTTAGGGTCTTCTCTAACAGAGCAATTCAGCGTATCGTACGGTAACCTTGGAGTCTGGTCTATGCGTCCCTACATTTCCGAGGGCGTATCCACCGTCATTTCGCGATAAGTGATGCTGGAGCCCACGGCGAGTGCTCCTACTGTTTGCCCTTTCCCTTGGTGTATGGACGGCGACTGTACTGTCTTGTCTATGCTTTCAAGCTATAATTTATCAAACGCCACTGAATCACCAGTGTCTCGTCTGGGATGAAGTGTAGATTTGTCACCGTAACAAAGGTTTTGGTCCCCCTCACCGCCCTTCGAAGTATCTATGTGCACTCTGCTTCCATTAAGTATGCGAACTACTTAACTAACGCGGCTGTTCTACTGAATAGGAAAATCACTTTTTTTAATTATTTGGATTTTTGACTACAGCACAAACTTCATTGTCACAACCTCTATTTTCACTTTTACGTTCCATTATTTGCTTCCCAAATGTTTTAGTCCCTTTCATCCAAAATTTATTTAAGCTAAACTTCAGGAAGGTAGCACGAAAAGCAAAAAGTAGTGAGCAGGATGTAATGCTAGGGAACATTAAAAGTGCGGTAAAATGTGAACGTTCAACTGGTATACTTTGGAATCTTTTGTTTCCCTTGCTTGCTTTTTGTGGCCCCCACATGCAACGCCACTTCCCTGAGTGGCTAGCCATGGCTTAATTTCAAAAATCGCTTGTATGAATGTCCTAATGGAGAGTATCTCTCGCTGCGTCATAAAATTGCACTGTTCCCTCCGAAACCGTCTGACGATCATGGGCTTCAAGCTTTCTAGGTGGGTACCTTGTGCCTCGATGGGAAAGAAAGTCTTTAGACCGGTAAAATACAGTGTAGTGATCAAACGTGCCGACCACTGTGCATTAATCTGATGTCCATAATCCCTTCAAGCGTCATAAGTTTATTCATTGAACTTGTGAACGTTTACTCTTTGGAGCCTTGGTGAATAAATCTCCAGTCAGGTTCAAACGCACAGTTTTAACGTTGCAACCGTCTGTGCATCCTGAAGTATTCTGTCCATTCACTAATGCCTATTGGCTCCACTCAATGTTCGCTTACCTATTTTCAAATCTTTCACGTCATATTTCAAGGGCGAATTTGGCGATATTAACGGTACAATTGTGCTACACATTGTTGAAATCCCATTTTGCGCCTCTAGGCCAGCCGTGCCACTTGATTAGTTTGATCCATTTAAGAAACACATTCCTTACGTCTCAGTTGGTCAAGAGAGCCAATCACACGCGTGCAAAGGTTCCCTCCCCCAAAGACATGAGGCCTCCCATGTTTCAGTTTCCTTATCACCGCTCGTAATGCATATTTGTGTTACACTGCAAACTTACTACTTTGACTGATTGCTCCGTGAGGAAAACATTTCGTACTCCTCTATGGGTTTTATTTACCCTTCTCTGTTTAGTACGTTGATACTCTATCCGAAGTTGTCAAACGTGGAATTGAGGAAGCAACACTGTACATGAAGGACGAACGGGCCAAGCAAATAAAAGAACAGGTTAGTTAGTTTCCATTTTATCCGCTATGTGCCTCGTTACGATGGCTCACTGCCTACAGCCTTCCCCTTATTAACTATTATGGTTGTGTTATTATTATTCGAGACTTAAAGTCAGTGTGTATATTTAATTTACTTCCGAGCAAAAAGGCTTTATAGACATGTGAAACGCTTCCCTTCCTGATTGACCTTGGGATGTAAGGCTTTGCTCCATGTAACACCTGGTGAAAGTTGATTTCCTTGCTGTGTTGGCACCTCCTTTCAGAGGCTTTAATCTGTCGAAGATCTGACCTTGGCTCCGACTCGATTTTAGAATTTTAATCCAGTGCAGGATAGGTCGATTTTTGTTCCATAAGCCCTGCAGAGGCCTTTGCCCCAAATCTCATTGGCACCGTATTACAGCAATGAGAATTTTCCAACTGAGTCTGACGACTAGCATCTTATTCCTACACTAAACAATTGTATTAGGCGCTCTTAAATTGTGTTGCCCGCGTTCCAGCGGTTTTCAAAAGACTTCAGAAAGGGTAGCTTTGAAATGATTCTCATCCCTTTTTGCATTGATGTTTTGTTAAAATCATAACCAAATGCACTTATCCACTTTCTTAACAAGTCATCATGTGAGTGTTCGTGATAGGCAGGAAGTTCCATCCTTTCATCATCCCATCGCCCATGTATAAATTGCTAGTGGTCTTGATACGAAACAATTTTACCATAGGCACAATTGACATGAGCCTATTATGCATATGTGTACAAGTGTACTATTCAGATCGTTGCAATTATGGGGACACGAAGAGTGTTTCGCAGGTTCGCTTTGCGTGACCTTAGGTTGTGGAGATTTTGTTGTGTTGTAATTTGGTGGAGCAGTCTGCGGTAGCGTCATATTGTTGTAGTTTTTAGCATTTTCGACTGTCACCCTAGTCCATGAAAACTCGTTTTTTTGATATGCAAGTTAAATCCTTCTGATTGGGGTTGTTTGTGGGAATTCGACGGTTCAAAGTTATGGGCTGGCAAAAAAGTTGTTTTATTTCTCTAACGTTAAATATCCTAATTCTTCACACGAAGACTAACCCGTATGCATAGGAATTCTCAAATCTAGTCAAGAATAATGAACCAATTGCAGTTTAAGGTCATCATTATTAGTGAGCGTTTCAACATTGAGCGGCTTATCAAACTTTGAAGTTTGTAGTAGTCTGATATGCAAAGTCAGGACTATGCTGTGGTAATCGGCATTGTTGTCCAACCAACCTCCGATAACTTGCCACGAATTAGTAAATGTGCGTAAGACTTTGCTTTGTCTTGGTACAAAACAAATGCCTTACGATTTGCTAATTTGGGTAGTTTCTCTTTAGTAGCTTTCTTCAATTTCAACCAGTTGTCAACAGTAGGCATCCGAATTAATCGTTTTGTTCCTAATCCAGCTACGTTGACAGCACTAACTTTTTTTGAAAATAAATTAATTATTTGACGTGGTTTGTGTTGGTTGATCACCTGTTGAAAATAGTTTTGTGTGGTTGATGTTATTGTAGGTGATCCATTTTGCGTCACTAGGGATGCTTGGTTTTAAAAGAGAGACGATTTCATCGCGATTGAGATGCGTATCACAAAAATTAATTATGCAGATTTCTCACAGTTCACGTGAAATGCATCTTAACGGTTGAAAGACATTATGCGTAATTCCAGCCAGTCTGTGATACATTTAAGTTTTCTGCAATCTCTCAAACAGTTAAATGGTGGTTCTATTCAGCTCTGGTGTTGATTTGGTCATTAATTTCACTGAGCTGACCAGACTGTTGGTCATGCTTAATTGACGACTTTATTGAACGCACAATTTAAATAGTTCCGATACCTGGCCTTGTGAAAACCAATCAGCACCACGACAGTATCGAGAGACATGGTGAAGACGTTCATTTTTGCACTGTTTTAGTAGAGTACTATCTAGAAGCTGCAAAGTTACGTGCGAATTGCCTTTGTAACCACTACTTGTTCACATTGAGTTTCCACTTTAAACGTCTGCTTGAGGTCACAACAGTTAGAATTTGCGTGTTCGTGCGAGCATCTAGTCTGAGGAGCTTCCTGTTCCAGAACGTGGCTTATGCTGCACGGATGGAAGTGCTGTGATTGCGCTCTTTTACTCGAAAATGTAATTGCACGGTCTTTCGTTAATTAAAGCAGTGTACATATTCATGATCTCCGTCCTTTTCTTCACTTTGCATTGTGCGGAGGCGTGCATTTTCGCCACACACACACACACCTTCGTACGTGTTTATCACTTTGCCGACAAACTCGAGGAGCGCAAGGTTGGTGTGGTCGTAAGATTTATGTCTGTGAGGTGTGCATGGTTTGCACGTATGCTTACACGCCTCCAATCACTGGTTATTGGGTTTACATACCATTTGCCGACGGTTTTGTCCAATTTGAAGTCAGAGTAAGTTGTTCCTCCAAGGATTTGCGTTAATTGTTGAATGAAATTTTTCTTTTATGAAATTACAATATAAATCCAGAAAACATTTCCAATCAGCCTTACATTCGAAGCGTTTGGTGGTATTTGGACTAATGATACTAATGTTATGTTATGGGCAATTTAAAGTACGCCATTGTGTACTTAATGATTATTTGCCACTCAAATCTTTCGATTGCTGTAGGGCACCTTTATTTAAAGTGTCCAGACACGTGATCAAGTGATACATCATGTTCGGTTCTTAAAACTAATCTACATGTCCTCTGAGTGGCCATTTATGCGTATTTTTGCATTTCTAAACATTGCCTTGATTATGTGGCCATGACTTGTCTACCAAGCAGTCATCTTTGCATTTCTAGTCAGTGCTTTCTTGAAAAATAGGGCTTTTTGATGGTCAGTTCCTTTGTTTCTCTTTCAATGAGTGCCCACGTAAACTTGGGTAGATCTTCGCGATAAATGGCCCTATTCGGGTCGTCGTAATACGTGAATAGAATGATGGAAACGGGGTTTTCCCGTTTTTCTGTTAACCTATTTCTTCCTTCATCACTGTTTCCTGCACAGTTATCTATCTTCATCTCTAATTTTGCTCCTTCTTTGTATGAATTGACGGCTTTATATGTTCCACCTCACCGGTGCAACAAGGCAATTTCAGATATTGGTGGCACCGTTGAGTCTGTCGCATTTATGCGTGGTAACGAAGTGCTGAAACCGGCGATTGAAATTTCAATCAATTCAATTGTCTGTTTCAAGCCTGCCTTCTGCTTATTTGCACGTGCATATAGTTTGATTTTTAAGTTTTTTTTACACCTGTAGACACCCACAACATTATTTTTTTCGTTCTATTCGATTCAAGACTGACAAGGTCGAAAGTAACATTATTGCCTTTCCAGTGAAGTTATATACTCAATGCCTTCACACTCACAAGTCATTATAACACTTTGTGCTCTCAATATTTACACTCGAGTCCGTTGAATTGCATTTTTTAAATAAATTTCTGACTCAATCTTTATTTGAATCACTTTTAACCCAGACTGTATAGTACTGGTTTCTACTTTAATCTTCTATGTGTAAGATATTATTTTCTTGTAATATGCCCCTTCTTGGAAAACCCTGTGTCCTCCACCCCCAATCGACCCCATCACTTTATGAAAACTTTCAGACACTTAATGTGGGCTCCTTACACTTACCCTACTATTTGATTTATAATCAAGATTACTTACAATTATCACTTAACCTTCTATTGTTAATTCTCCATTTCGCCCCAAAGTGTACCTGTTTGGCATGCGTTTGATTTTACCCGTTAAAGTTAAGAACTGATTTTGACTGTCTTGCTATTGTCACCACGTTGTCAAGGCTTGGTGAGGATGGTAGAGCCAAGTGCCTTTGCTTTCTGCAACTCGGTACCGAGCTTAGTCCTCGACTAATGCTTTTTCCGTGCTTCTTACCCACACAGGGTGTTCTGCGTCAATTGCCTTATTTGGACAAACTCATTAACTGGTGGTCCCCGCCTGTACCCACCCAGATCCATGGACGCATGTTGAACCTTTCGATTGGTGAGTGGTCTTGCTGCATTAACACCGTATCTTTGTGAAAGCGGCGGAGCGTGCGGGGCATCTGCCCTGGTACTTGACCCCCGCCCAGCCTGCAAACTCTTTGTGATTCCTAGCAGCCTAAAGATGTGCAAACTTAGCTTAACTCCGACGTGTTTATCGGACATGTCGCGAAGCTTTAACGAATGCCTTGCTCCCTCTGCACTCTTAATATTGGATAGGAAGCTAGTGAATGCAGACTCAGAAATGATTGGAAGGCAAAGCAGCTGTCTTATTGTGAGCCCTGAAGGGCAAGAAGCCACTTACATCGGGTATTGGAGCGCTACGCTGTAGACATGCACTGTAAAAAATACAGTCCGCCCTGTTGTTACAATTGTCTCCGATACAATGGTAGTGAGTGGGGGTGGCCGCTGTAGTTTTTTTTTAAAAGGCTGCTTCGCCCCTCTTTCGTATTCATTCATTTGTGCATCTTTGAGGATTGATGTTCTCCTTAGTGGCTGTCTGATTCACGCTTATAGTGGAAGGGGATGTTTATTAGACAGGTCTATGTTTTTACAAAAGAGCATATATTAAGAAGATAAACTAGATAAACGCAGAAATTCCAACCTTCTCTGTGTTGTAAGGAGGTCTTTTTCGGCTATGGCTCATTCTGCCAATTATGATCTTATGGAGATTTTTCGAATATCGAGGGGATCTATGGTGTAGAAAAGACTGTAAATTCATTTTCAGCTTAATTGCTTAATGGCAGTGTTGTCAATGCGCAAATTTACCATATTTATCACAGATTTGGCAGAAAGTGTACGGATTGACTGTTCTCCCTCCTAGGTGAACTTGTGTCTACCGACTCCCTCTTGCGTAAAAACAGTCCACAATGTGAGCATCCGCCCAGCCGTAACACATCAGAGAGTCAGAATTCGTCATCACTTTGGTCCTGGCTACTGCCATTTGCCGGGAACTCGTCTGAAGCGTCAGGCGACTCCAACAACGGGGCCGCGCAAACGTGAACTTCTCCCAACTTTTTAAACGCCTTTCTCCTGTTTATTACTACATTGTCTCTTTACGCACAATATTTACTTTTTTTTCATCTCTGCACATGTGATAATAAGATTTTAAGTTTGGTGATAGATTGCAAAGTCGCGTTTCTCATATAAAATGTTTGGGATTGAATCCTTCAGAGAAGCGATTGTTGCCATTCAGCTCAGTTATTTAGGCTCAAATAGGTCCAAAAAATTTCGGCCGTAGAAATCAGGTGTCTTTGCCAGCTTACCCTCAGGCGACGCGGTGCATTTTCCGAGGAAATGCAGAAAACGCACATTTTTTTGCTTTAAATAGCATCGCTCGAGGGGGAGACCGATGCCGCAGTAGTCTTGTTCCACATAAAGCCTGTGTAATGAAACCGTGGCAGGGTACGCCTACCATTTTCCAGCCATCGTCTCAACAGCAACCCCAAAGAATTTAGTCGTTGTAGACCTTTGCCACAGACTGCCATCAGTTCGCTGAACCAACTTCCATCACCTGCACCCGCACAGCCTAAGAGATAAGAGCCACTCCGACAGTTCCTACCCAGGAGTATCTTCCATTAATAATCCCCCGAGTGACGACTGTTATCAAACTTTCCTAGGTTTCTATTTGCTGTTGACGTTATTTCTTGATTCTTTTCCAATTGGAAAAGTTATTTGTTAGTGGTAATTCTGTAGTCATTGAGTTTTCAGGTAGTAAATTCAAAAGTTCACTATCTTAGTTTTTGATTTCATTAAAAATTAATTTTTCCAAAGTGTTCTACCGGTATTTGCACAATGGCCATTTTTTAGGGATTTAACTAGGGCAATCCAGATTGAGTTTACCTAAATATTTTCTGTGCATTTTACACGTACCCCGGGTTGTTTTCGTAAACACTTCGCAAAACCTTCTCGTGTTTGGTCCAGACTCCCGGCCGAGTGGTCTTTGCGTGACGTCACCTGAACTATGGTAACACACCACAAACCCGGCAAGACTGCGAATCAGACCCGACTAGACCCTTGATCGAGCAAGTGGATCTGTTTTCTCGAAGCCCTCATTTGCCAAAATGGGAGCAAAATGCTTTTGAAGTTTTCTTTACTATAACTAGGTCGTTTAGTAAGAAAGTCGATGAACGTGATTAGAATATTTGATCATAATGAATTTATAGTACTTCAAACCAGTGCTTAAACGAAAATTGATATCTTCAACCCCGGAAGTTGCTATAATGACAAGAGCCTTTTTTGCAAAATCATGAAAGTATGGTCATTTGTAAATATTAAGCCCTACATTTTAATTTATAAGTCAGTTGTGAGGAAGCAATCATTAATTGGTACAACTAACACCATATTATGCAAATATCTAAAGCCCTCTAGATTTGGAATCAGGCATAGATAATTCTTAAGATTTCTAATGAATGACAATTCTCAACTAGCTTCTACTCCATTTGTCTTTTTGTCAAGTTTAACGCCCACGAAAATTCATAATTTAACATTGATAATTGACCTTGTACAACCAACAGAAAAAAACATGGGATTAGTCATATTAGGTTATTGCGCTGCTTTTATTGTAGCACGTTTAAAGACCCATTCCTTGTCAGTGGTTCTGGTCATAAGGTGCCAAAATCTGTTGGTCTCTACTTTAAAGGATGGGGGATTTACATTTTGAAATGCAGTGTGCAATTATGGTATAAACCTATGAACGTTCAGGTAAATGCTTGCAATCTGTCAGCGTCATGTCTATTATTGTGGCAGTAGGCTTTCTAACTGCACATAGCATGCCGACACTCACGCTTTGCATTTTTCCTTGGGCTAAGTGATGTTGGTAATGCAGTGAATGGCGCTTATTTTTCCCCTGCGTGTTTTTAATTTAGCACACAAATTTCTCGGTAAAATAAATACTTTACTTTTCTTGACCTCGACGTTAAATGACCTTCCAATTTTAAAAGTAAGAAAATGTCACTTTTGTAAAAAGTACTCATTGAAGGTCGAAGATAACTTCCGCTTCCAACATGTTGACAAATTAGTACAAAAGCTAAATGGTCATATTTATGTAGGTAGTGACGTATTTCCAATAAACCCTTAAACTCTTCATACTTCATAATTTGATTTGGTGGTAATATATAAGCCGTTATAAAAAATCCGTCGTCTCATAGACACGTAAGTTCTTTCACTTTTATGGTTTAAACTTGAAAATAACATTGTCTGGCTTTGCTTTCAGGCAGATTAGCATGTTCAAAGCTAGCGACATTAAAGAGCTATTAAAGAGGCGACTTGTATCAATTTGGATCAAATATGCGGGAATATATCAACAGAGACGACGTGTATCTGTGGACGTACCCCACCTTCAAATGCGTCGGGAGTTTTGTCGACGGCACAAGACTTTGCTAGATCGCTCTTGGGACATGGCAGAAGATGGTACAAGTGACTTTTTGGTTGGAAATGCCCGTAATTAACTCAGTGAGTTTAAGTAAGTTTATTTTTATGCAATAAAAAAGGCTTTTAAGTCTTGCTGCTCACTTTATTGTCTTTCAAGTAACAGGAGAACTTTGACAGTAATTTGTATTTATTAATAATGTTGAAGTGTCATGCATACATTGTCATCGACGTGCTAGAGATTAGTTTTGATAAGTCAAGTCGCTTACGACCCGTCATAGGCCATTTTCTTGGCCATCAAAGAATCTTAAAAAAATGGATGTTTACACATGGTTTCTATTCAAACTTGGAGCCTATTACATTTGTGGCAATAGTGGTGGGTGTTCGTCCGATCGTTTGGTAAATGCACATCTACGCAAATAATTTCCCGCTGAGTCTATTGATCTTGTTGATTTCTACATCACATTTTGAGAAGAATGCACAGATTTCATTCTGAAGTGGTGAGGAATTTGATCCCAGAATTTGTATCCTCTTAAAAAGGCTTTTAAAATACCACAATATGCTAAATTAGTAGTGCCTGTATGACTTTAGGCAACGTAGAGGCTTCCAACATATTTTTTTTTCAAAAAAATGTTTTTTTTTTTATGTTAAGCATCTCTCCGACAAGAGACTATGAAAGTTTGACTTATGTAAAGTACCTTCTGCTAAGTTAGAAATTTAAAAACGTTGTGCTCGTATATGTGCGTTTTGCTATAACTCTAGTGATCTCGATTCAGAATTGGTTAAATCAATTTGGAACAACATCCGCTTCTCAAAGAAGTTTACCCTTTGCATTTATGTACTGTGAGATGATTTCAGAGGTGGCAGGGAATCGTCCAAGCCACGACAAGGACTTTGTGCTATCACTGGATACTATTACATCAAAACAGTGGTTCAAAAATATGCATGTAAATTCTAGCTGCTTGTTGCGTCTGTTTATATCCCAGTATTGTAACTGTAGGATAATTTGGATCCAAAGTTAAGGTACTAGTTAAATGGCCGTAAAGCTACTTATGTTAAAATTCACTATTTGCTTTCAAACAACTAACTCTGATGTTCACATCTACTTCATTTTGTCCTTAAAACGTCTTAAATATTTCATACATTAGCTCTTACAGGAGCAGCAACTCGCATTTGTGTTGCTTAAGACTTGTTTGTGGTCGTTTCTGTCCCTTATTTCCCCATGGAAAACTTTGTCTATAAATTCGCTGTGGTGCAATGACAAGCATGGTTTTCAAGGACATAGTGACCAAGTTTTATTAGGAAACATTAAAAATTAGCCATTTAAATGCGTTTCATAAAGCAATAGCAGCATTACTGCTTATTTTTTGTTCAAAATATGCAGCAGAAGGACTCATCAAAAAGCACTGAAAGTAGATCTTTTTGCCCCATTGTTGCAGTCAGATCATGGAGCAGTTAAAAGAGAACACACCTTCCTAAGAGCAGTTTCAACAGCGATACTGGGGTCCGCATGCTTCGGCGTGTCAACTGTCCTTTTTACCACAAGGTAACCAAAATGCCTTTTCAAGTGTTTTAGAAAGGTTAAAGAAGTAAAACAACAGCATTACAAAGCACGGAGACTACAGACGCTTTTAACCTAATTAGTGCTTACATTTTGTGTCACAACCTTTTGCACTCAATAGTTAGATTATATTTACCTCTAAGTGCTTTGGTTTGGTTTCATGACATCTTTTAGATATTCTTTTAGATTAAAGTAACACAACAGCGTTTTATTGCGCCTGGACTTGGTCTCTCAATGGACATCGATGGAGACCGATTGTCAAAACTGTCAAATCGACTTCAATTAATGTTTTCAGCCACTTATTTTGACGGAGTAAAAATACTGTGGCTTTAAATTAAGGCCTTTACTCCCAAAAAGTAGACATTTAAGTACTCGAACAATTCTGACAGCTGCGTCCCAATTCTGCACAGCCAACGTCGAGGAATTTGCTCATGTTCCTGACTTCACCACTGAATAAGCCCTTAGAACGAAATTGTTTCGCTCTAAATAGTTTATGTTGCAAATGTTGGTTAGCACTTAATTCGCTATCTTTCTTCTTCACCATCAACTCAGCCAGAACTTATTTTCCTGCCATTTATTTGTAAATGCAAAGTTGTATTCTGAATGTATGTGGAAGAACTATGCCATGGATTTAAAAAATGGAATAGGAAGCCTAAATGCAGTAGTGGATATGAGTCCTAGGATGTAAACTTTTCTATAACATTTGTTAAGCTTTTTGCAAATTGCTAACTTTAATGGATAGCTTTACAACTGCTGGCCTGTACATAAGTTAAATTATTTTTTTATTTGTAAGGCTTACATATAGTGTCAAAATACACGTGTGCGTGAATGCAATTTTATGTTACTCTACTTAACGCACTGCTGTTTCCCATTGGTTTTCTCTTCTGAAATTTAGAACAACAAATTTGAAAAATCTGGAGCCGTACAAACTTGTGAAAACAAGGAAGCTTAGGGTACGAGAGTGCAGTGCTTCCCCCGTTGTTAACCATGACTTGAACCACTTTAGTCCTGTGCAATTGTCATTGGTAAAATTGGGTCTTCAGTAGTTTTGTCCAGAAGCTCTTTAAAATGC